TCATCTTGACATCATCTTCTTTATCATCATCTAAAAGTCAATCACATTTGATGAAAATAAAAATTATTGCCAGTTATTTATCATTGGATAACTAAATTAATATGGATTAATATCTAATCTTATTAATGATCATGATTTAAGTGAGAAACAATGAGAGAGAATATTGTTTACATAAATACTAATGTTAATATAACCAAGAAGAAGATGATAAGTGAAGAGTGTGTGTGTGAGAGAGAGAAAGAGATAAATAATTAACTGTTAATGAGAGAAATGAATCTAAAACAATTGATTAGTGGAAAAGCAAAAAAGGTCAAAAGAATCGGATTAATCTTAATGGTCAACATTTGATTGTCTAGATTTAATAATAATGTGGGGAGAAAATTTTGATCGGTCATCCACTTTATTAATTGTATTGTCCATTTAATGAGACAACACTGGACATTGAATTACTGACCCAACGGACAAAAGTTACAAGAAAAAGGAGTTGAAACAATGATTAGCTTACGAAATTATCTCCTGGGAGTTATGGTGTTTATCATGATAGGAATCTGATGATTGTAATTTACTGAAGAGAAACATTTTCATTTGTTTTCCAACCTCATAAGTATTATAATGACTCGAAGGGAGTTGAAATGTTACAATGATTATCCGATAATTGAATCAATCAACCATTCACAGTGTGTGGTGGGTAAGTAATAGACTATCAGGGTAATGGTGATGTTCATGGGGAACACGATAAACTCAGAGAAAGGTCAGAAAAAATGACCACTAAGTTAATAGAATAACAAAAAGTTTCCATTATTATTATTTGTCTTTTCCTTTCACAATTTTGATTATCGGTGTTCATTTTAACGTGAGCATTTTCATTAACCTTATTATCAATTGTTTCTTGTGATTAATTAATTCATCTAATCAATGGAACGATAAGTTTTGTTATTGTTTCTCGAAAAGGATGACCAGTGGTCATCGTATCTGTAGAAACCTTTTTTTTACCGTTTCCATTGATCTTATCGGTTAATTTGATTCATTTGATTCATTTTGTTGATTTGTCTTCTCATCTCAACAAAGATTTTCTTTAAGTTTCTCAATCAACTGGTTTAATTAACTTTAATCCGGTTAATTAAATCAATCACAAGGATTAATATCCTCTTGTTGTTTCATTATAATCTTTCAATTGTTAATTGTTTTTTATTTTAATCCAAGTGTTTACATTTAGATTAGTATTTTAATCAATACTTTGTTTTTATTTTCACAATTAGATGAACAATTAACTTAGATTTTCCTAATCAGAAAATGTTTAACTTTCTAATCTATTGATTGGAAAATTTTTCTTAATTGTCATTAACAAATCGACCATTTTTTTTACACTTGTTGATGATTAATTATTAGAATTAAATTGTTGTTGGAACAATCAACTTGATCCTTAATCATTATCATTCCTTTGAACGTTGAGAAAATTAAAATTGATTGTTCCTTATCAAGAATCCCAACTTATATTGATAATTAATTGTTGTTTAACAGTTTTAATCACTATCAACAATCAATATCAATCTTATCACTTGAATATCCTAACAATCACAATGAAAGGAAATCAATAATTAATGAGAAAGGATTTTTTGTCATTCAATTGAATTAATAGTTAATAACAATCAACTAATTGACCTTAACCAATGACAATGAAATTAACGTACAACAACAAATCATAATGATGAAACAATCAAACTTAATTAAATTGTTTCACCATCTAAATTAGATTACATTAATTAAGAAGGAGCTAAACTTTATTATCAATACAATTGCAATTATGAAAAAAAAAACACAAAAACTAATCAAACTAATTGCGACTTAATTGTAAGTTGATTATCTTAATAAAACAATCAAACCAGATCAAAAATGATACAATTAATTGTGATGATAAGCCAAAAGACACAATCAACACTCAGAATCTTAAATTTAATCAGATGAAATATGAGAACCATGAACTTTATTGTTGTTCATTTTCATGTTCCCATAATTCATTGTCCAGTATATTGGTCATTAGTTTTTGTTTCACCTTCGGAGCATTGGGATGAGAAACTAGTGGACACTCATTAAACTGACCAATTGGAAAGTCCCAAGATGATGAAAAAAAAATGAAGAGAAAAAAAAAGTTCTGTAATATAATAGAAGGGAAGAAAAAAAAATTTCTCTTATATATCATGTATCAGATTCTGGTGACTTTTTCATGATCATGGAAATAGAAATATTAATAATAAGAGATAATAACATTTTCCAATATAAATAAACATCAACAATTGAAAGATTTTTCCATCAGTAAAATTTATCATTTTGTTTTCTATTATCATGATTAGAAAAACAGATTCACCCAATGAGAGATTTAATATCAGAATTAAGCTAAAAAATCTTCTCTTGTTCCTGAATTCAAGTAATTGGATGACAAGGAAAGAGAGAGAGAGAGTGAGATTACAGAATTATCTTCCTCATCATCTTGTACATTTAAATGAAAATAGTAAATCGTAATGATGACTTGAAGACCTATGGCTGATAATAAAAGAGGATAAAGATGAACATAAAGAGAGAGAGAGAGGATAAATGATGATGATGAAGTAAAATTAGTTAACAGTTATTTAGATTAATGTTATTGTTGATTGTTGATTGCTGGATAAAATTGGTTAGGTTGGAGATGTTCAACAATCACATTACGATTTGATTGTTGAGATGCATTAGGATAATAGTCCATCATCTCTAATTTTATGTATATTACTCATCTTCTCATCATCATCACCATCCCCAGCATCCACCCACCTCATCCCACCCTTGATGAAATGCTCTCTAACTCTATCCCACTTAGATTCGTAAGTAATTGAAAAACATTGAGAGAGAGAGAGAGACTATCAGAGGCAAAACAAAGCTCGAACAAACCAATAAAAGGGAAGAAATTAGAACATTTAAAAAGACATGGAAACTTTCAGGGTAAAAGAAAAGAGATAATTTGAAATGATGAACAAGACGAAGAAAAAAAATCATGACGATAAAACTGCAAGTAGTAGATAAAAGTGATTGAACATTAACAAGATATAAACTCTTATCTTTCATGATTTCCAATTGAAACTTCAGGGTTATTATTTCGTTGTTGATATGAATGGATTATCGGAGCTGGTGGATGATAACATGAGGCGGCTGAGAGAGAGAGAGAGAGAGAGAGAGAGAGAGAGAGAGAGAGAGAGAGAGAGAGAGAGAGTTGTTATTGTTTGATAATATAAAGTAACTAAGTTGACAATGGAGTTTACTATTTGTTTGTTTACATTGTTGATTGGGTTGAAGAAAGTAAGAGTTACTCATTGTTTTCCCATGATGATCATGATCATTTCTCATCTTAAGAATTTACATCAACAGTGAAAACGATATTATCACCAAGAAGAAATAAACAGAATGCTGGAAGAAGATGAAGTTTCTGTTTCCTTTTTCTTGTCTGAGTTTTTTTTTCTAATTCAATTTTCGTAACTATTATTATTCTTATATATAATAATATAATATAATATTTACTCAGTAGCACCGAGAAAGATAATTATATAACATATATAATATACATTTCTTCATTATGACCAGTAGCTTATTAACTTTACATCGTTATAAGTCATCATCTTAGTGGACACTAACTAATAATTCATCTGTTGATGGTCAGTAAAATTTTTATTCGGTAATTAAAATCTATATATATACAGATTATCACCTGAAACTTGACCATCACTGTTGATCAGCAATTGACATGTTCTCAAGCGAGATAATTATTATCACGTTTATCTGATTTACAGAATTGATATCATATAAGTTCAACTGAATGGGAACAAAGTTGTTTGAACTTTATTCCTTGGGAGTGAAAAATGATTCCACCTTTCTAAACGATAATCATATTGGAATTGGAATAACCTGTAACCATAAACTATTGAACTTTTCGAACCACATGGTGACTCTGTTTTTTTCTTGTTCTCCATGAAAAGTTTCAATGTCTCCCTCATGGAATTGAGATATTGTTTTTTTTCCTCTTCATTTAAAGTTACTTGTTGTTGTTGTTATTTTTATTTATCATTGGTTATTGTTTCATGTTAATGGTAATTGAACATTTTCCCATTGAGAGATACTAATGATTCATGATATGAGAGCTCAGGTAAATTGGAACTTTTATTTTTCTTTACATTTCATTCTTACCTTAACTCAGTGAATGAGAGAAATGAAAACGCAAAGGATTAAATGTATGGGTTGGAAATAGAGAGAACTTTTCTTTTCTCTGTTGATTTTACTATTTTTCTCTATTGTGTCAGAGAAAAAGGTTAATAACAGGTAAGAAGATGAAAAGAACCATTTTTAAATTGTGAGCCAAATAAAGAAGATGATAAAAGTTATAAGAAGAGAGAGAGAAAGAAGAAAACAGAAAAACTGATAAAAAAGTAGAAAAAGAGCTTAGAGTTTTCTCTAGTCTCTTGTTTTTCATCATCATCTGTCCTCAGAATCAAAGGTAAGTATTAAAGGTCGAAAGTCTTAATGAGTCTTAAAACTTTTTTTCGTAAACTAATTGATAATAATTTCGATAATGAAATGATAGTATTAATAAAGATAATTTAAATTCAATGAATATTGAGTAATATTGAGAGTATGGAGCTTTTTCCTTTTCGAACTCCCAAACTCACCTGAGAAACTAACTGAACTTTTTTATCTCCCTCTCACTTACTCACTTACTCACTCACTCACTCACTCTCTCTCTCTCTCATTCTCTCTCTATTTGAATAAAAAGATTGAAAAATCGGAAAATCAAATGATTAAGGATAATCATAAGTCTCATCTTCATAATTATTGATATCATTATCATCATTAACTATGAATTACACTGAGCATTATGATTGATGATAAATGACAAACTCCGCTCACTCACAATCTCTCTCTTTCTCACCTCGCTTTTTCCTCCACCTACTGAGCCAATATATGATAAGAAAGTACTACTATTTGCTGTCTAGCTCATGATGAAAAGCGCATGAACAGAATCAGAGACCTACCATGGAAAATTTAACATGAGTTAGTATTGAACATCGATTGACTTTCAATCCAAGTGAAACTAAGACACAGAGAAGATAAGAAAAAGAGAGAAAAAAACTTTATCATCGAATTTTTTTCTCATACAAAATCAAACTCTCTCTCTCTCTCTCTCTCTCTCTCTCTCTCTCTCTCTCTCTCTTATTCTCACTCTATTTCCTTATCCCATCACCATCTGACTCCCAGCTACATATAAATCCATATGACTTAAATATCTTCAGTATTAGTTTCAACTTACAATCTTCACCTCAAACATTACGATGATTCCAATTGATATTCATAACTTTTATCGTTGTTCATCAGTGAGAATTTTGTTTTATCAATGATCGTAAATTAAAGGGATGATCTTACCCACTGGTGGAAAAATAAAGACAAACTAAACCTTCGTAAAGGATTTTTCTCCTTAAAGTTATTCCTTTGAATTTCCTCAGAATTTATCAAAAGTTTATCCCTCACCTTGATTGCCTTACCTTCATCTCTCTCTCTCACCTCATCATCCATCTCTTCATCTTGACCATCATCATTGTCCAATGTAAACTTGATAAGCTTATGTCAAGCAAATGAAATACCCAAAGTGACATTGATCAAGTTGTATCAAGGATTAACAACAACAATAACAGCCCAAAGTTCAGTGTATGTTCAAAGTTTCAACCGGGAAAAACTCACAACTCACCCTGAATTCATAAAGCAAAGGAAATAACAAAAAGTAAGAGAAACTAAATTGATATAAATTGACTTGAAAAATAAGGTGATGATGATGGTGATGAGAAAATATTATTATTATTTTTTCCACAATATTAACAAAACTCATGTATTACTTTGATTATTTTCATAAGTTCCAGTTAATTCAGTAAAGTGATAATAGTAATAATAAAGTTTACAAAAGAAACAAACAAAAACTAATCATCATAAGATATCAAAATTTATATAAATAAATAAAAAGTTAATTAGTGTAATAGCCAATGGAAAACTGACAATTCCATTCTAATTGGATAATAATAGTAAATCATTTAAGTGGCGAAGTAAAAATTAACTGACCAGTTGAATATTACTACGATTTCATTGATATAATTACTTTGATAATGTGAATTATTTTAGTAGAAAGAGAGAAGCAAAAAATTTACCGTTATTTTGATCATCACTTGGATAACTTTTTCGAGAAAGTGAAACTAAGTGTTCTAAAAAGTTCTAATTGTCATTTTCTTATTCTCGAATTATTTTCCTGCAAAGTTGACCTGATTTCTTTGACGATTAACGATATGCTCAACGGTGATATTCAACCTTCATCTTCAACAAGTGACCTAACAACAATATATTCAGTGTTTTCATCCTCATCTCTTGACCATTTGAACAATGTAACATCCGAACTGGTCAATCAATCAGTTTTCACAATCGCTATCTCATCGGCTCTTGGGGTACTCATATTGATCACAATTCTGGGAAATATATTTGTAATCTATGCGATACTTTTTGACCGTATATTACGTCGGGTGGGTAATTACCTGGTCCTTTCATTGGCTATAGCTGATTTCATGGTTGCCTGTACAGTTATGCCAATCAGTGCTTTCTATGAGGTGACCAATGAGTGGACCTTTGGCTCTGTTTTATGTGAAATTTGGACCTCAGCTGATGTACTTTGCTGTACAGCATCAATCTTACACCTTCTTGCCATTGCTCTTGACCGTTACTGGGCAGTTACCCGGGTCAACCATATACAACAGCGTAACCTTGCCCTTGTTAACAGGATGATCGCCGCTGTTTGGTCCGTATCATTACTCATCTCATTAGCACCGATCCTTGGATGGAAAGATCCAGATTTTTTGAAACGAATTGAAACTGAAAAGGTTTGCCTTATATCTCAAGATATTGCATATCAAATATTTGCAACAGTTTCCAGTTTCTATGCTCCCCTGGTAGTTATCTTATTCCTTTATTGGAGAATCTACAAGGTAAGTACAAAAGAGAAGAAGAAAAAATGTTCGAAAAAGAGAAGCAAAAAAAATTGAAATCAAATTCGAAATATATCACATATCATGTAATCTATTATTACTCAGGATGAAAGTGAGAATATTAATTTTCACCATGGAAGGAATCATTTTCTCATCAAACTGATGAAACTCTTTTCGATTCTCAGCTAATTGTTACCTTGATAGTTTACAGGTTGATATTAATTGTGAGTAAAAAAAAATCTACTGAATGAATAATGAATCGTATCAGATTTTTACCCTTTCTGTTGACAAGAAAATCATGATAATTATATTATCATGGTAATGATAACTTGTTTATTAGTATTCAAAACATTCAATGATAAATTTCATTCTTCTGGTATAAATTGAACTTCCCATGAAATTAGTGGCAACATGATAAGTTGAATGTGTGTACAAACAAATGTCATTGTCCACTCAATCGTAGTGGACAATTGAATAATGTTCAGCCTGAGAAAATTTCCTGAAAAGTTGATAATTGAAATTATAAAATTGTCAATTGCATTTCTCATGATAAATTGTTGTTGTTGTTGTTGTTGTTGTTTTCATTTACTAACCTTGATTAAAAATTAATTTGATACTTTTTGATGTATAAAAAAACAAATCAAAACAATTTAATTGATTTGGTTAAAAGTTTTATGTTGAATTAATTGGGAATTGAGAGTTTAGTTTCATTTGAAAGTTTTTATCATCTAATAGCATGGAAAGAGATTGGATTTAGTTTCCAATTGGAAACTGAAAGGATGATGATGATGATGATGATCGAGTAGATGAAAGAGTAGTGATGATAATCAAGGTAAGAATTTGAAGCAATGAAGAGACAAGAAAATTTGATCAAATTAATTGAACTTAGTTAAGTTAATTGCTGTGAATAAGCTTCTTTTTTTTCTCAATTAGATTTTATCATCTTTTAATCCGATCGTCAAAATTTTTTTTCTTAATCAGAATCAATCTCTTACCTTTTATCATCTCCAATCATCATCATCATCTTCATCTTCATCATTATCTTATCTGTCTCTCTCTCTCTTTTTCATTGAAGTAAATCAATAAAATCAATCTGATTGTTGAATTGATGAACAAGGTTAAAGTTTAAATGTCAATCTAAAAGCAGAGAAAATCAATTAATTTCCCTTAATAATGACGAAAATTAATCTACGATATCTAATCTATTTCTCTGTAGTTAATTGTTAATCCATGTTGATGATTAAAGCAAATTGCCCACAAGGAGCCATTAATAATCTACTAATTAGTTTTCTAGTTAATTGTTTCACAATCAACAAATATGATTAAAATTCAACAGCGGAAAAAAACGTTATTAATATTTACAGTTTATGTTGATCAGAATAACAAAAATTTTCTCAATATTTTTCGTTTACCTGTTAAACCATCATGATTATTTACCGTTAGTAAATTAATTCCTAATTTCGTGATCTGAAATTCTAATCAAATCATGATAATCTAATCATGGTGATGATATTTTGCTGTTCAATGATTCAGGTCAAGTGATAATCTGTTTTTTTTACCGTTATTCAAGTTTATCATGATGATAATCATCTGGTCAATCATTTGGTCAGCATACAATTAACATGGTTCATTGAATTTGGAAATTTAATTGTTTGGAATTCAAATGTTATTTTCATGGGGAAGGGAAAATAAATTTTTCTATTCAATTTTCGAGTCAGAACTTTTTTTTCCTCTTTTCTATTCGAGTTTTCAATTTCTTCTGAACCTTTTGAAAAGTTCTGTTGGAATTGAATTAAAACAATAATTGTTAACTGTTAATATTATGATGGAAATGATTTTAAAGGCAAAAAAGGTAAAGCAATTAAACCGGAACCGGAACTTGCAGGTAAACTTCCTGAATCAATATTAGAGGAAATGAAATTAGATTCTCATCTCATGTTAACATTGAGACGATGAAAATATAATTACTACAATTAAATTACAGACAATTTAAAAAGTATTCATATTACTATTATTATTAAATTGTCATGACTCTTGAAGACTCAGAATCAACAGTTAACATGAGATGAATGAATATAATGAGAGAGTAAAAATCAAACGAAAATTCTGAATCAACCAAATTGAAATTGGAATCGGAATTAAATTGTTGATTGTTAGACTTAAATTTTGTAGTATTATTATACATCCAATAAAAGATTAGAATTAATCATCTAATCAATCGTCTGAATGAATTTTTAGTTTAAATTGTTTTGATGAAAGAGAGAGGATGATGACGATGATGATGATGAAAAGAGAAAAATTTTCTCCATCAACTTTACCCTGAGGCTATTTGTGTTTACCTTTAGTTGGGAAATTCATTTAAACTCATTACGATTTGTAATTTAAAAAGCGATTCTGATTAATGTTCATTTGATTTGTTATTGTCTTTTTTCAAATATTATCATTATCATGTTATTATTATTAAATAATGACTTTTACTATTGTTTTTGACGCTCATTGAATATCACAATCAACTTTTCATGGTGTTTTCACCATGTTCTGGAAAGTTAAGTGTTCAGATGGTTTAAGTTATTTTCTTCACTTGCTTTTCTTTACTCGAGAACAAATATTTAGTTAAATTACCGGAGTAGTAGTAAGTTGATTCTCACTGGTTGTTGACACATAAAATTTAATTTTCTCTAAATTTTTATTACATTTAATCAAAGAAAACAACAACTTATGTATGAAAATAGGATGCGAAGTGGAAGGGAAAAGGATGGAGAGTGTCAGTGGGAGGTGGAAGGTGGAAGGTGGTAAAGTAACTACAAGAAAGTTTCGTCTCTCTTTTGACAAAATGATTACATGGAAATGAATGAGAAGAAAGAAGAAGATAAAAAAACGAGGAAGATAAAGATGAAAGGAAGAAGAAGATGATAAAAGTAAAGAATGATGATTAGGAAGATGATAAGTGACAGAGTGAGAGACGAAAAGTTAAATCAGATTCTGTATTTACTTGGGTATCTAACGAAGTTGGTTACCAGGGTAACATGTATTCTGAGTTGATGAAGATAAAGATGAAAATGATGATAAATAAGGTGAAGTTTATTAGGTGAATATAAAAAAAGGTAAAGATGATGAAGGACAATCATGATGAGGATGAGGATGCTAAAGTTCATAACTAAGGGTTAGAAATTCAAGTTTGCAAAATCAAATGAAATTGAATTTTCTCATGAAATTCGTGAGATTTGGATGCTATTTATTACACTTACTTAGATGAAGACGAGATGAAAGTATTTACAAGAGAGAGAGAGAGAGAGAGAGAGAGAGATTATAAAGCTCTTTCTTCATCATCATCAGAATCATCATTGATCATCATCGCATTTTCATTTCTCATTTGGGTGACATGTATTATTAGACTGATCAATATGAGTACAAGTATTTTTTTCCTGGATGATAAAAGTTAAAATGATGAAGAGAAATAGTGAAAAATAATAAATATATAAAATTGAAATTTCAGGTTGACTGAGCTCCATGAGGGTTTGGTGATTTATCCGGAATTCCAAGTCAATTGGGTGAGTAAAAGAGAGATTGAGAAAAAAAAATGAGCTGAGTTTGTGTTAAATTATTCCTGATAAACTTCACTATCTATTAACACAATGATAATATTAGACACTTAGATATATAATAATAAGTATATATAAATTTTTTTATCGTCTTCATGATTGTATCAGTTGAATGAGAAATAATTTTCAGGGTGAAAAAAATTGACTCAAAATTTGACACATGAACTTTTCTTTCCATCATCATTTTTTACAGGCGATTATGTTTACTTTGGCTAAATGATATTATTACTTTTCATTATTATTATCTTTCCAATTGGTAGCAATTAAATGTCGACAATCATCATCATCAACAATTTACTATTTACTACAATCAACATGTAGCTATCATATTGATAATATAATTCTGATCAATTGAGGAAAATGTTTCCACTTCAACTGATTAATATTGATTGAATTTAAATCATGAAATAAAATCAATGTTTTAAAAATATCATCCAACTTTAGATTATTATTATTATCATCATTATTTAGTAAGTTAACCAGTGACAATTTAAAATAAACTGCAAGTGATTAACTTATCTAATTCCTTGTTTGAATAATTATATATATCATGATAATCGTAATCATGTTGGTGCTGATTATCATGATATGAAAGTTTTATCTCAACAATCAAATGAATTTGAATTGTTAATCATTGCGATCATCGTTAGTTGAGCTTTACAACTTGACAACTAATTAACGGTAACAATTAGACTTTAATTGTTATTGTCATTTTTATCTACATGATAAATTGAGTAAAATATTTAAAGCTCAGATTTTTTGAAACATTCAACACAATTAATGAAATATATATTAGATTATCATGGAAACCATTGTAACCATTGATACAAATTTTTCCGTAACAATCAAAAAGTTAATTGTAATGAAATTTGTTATTATATAAAATCAGAATACGATTAATATGATGAGTATAACAATGAATTTCAGTTGATTGTTTGAAATTTAGTTATTAAATACATGAGAAAATTTCAATTTGTACAAATATTTCATGAAATTTTCATCAAAATTTGTGAAAATTGAATCAATAATTAAAGAGAAACAGTTAATCAAAGTGCTAACAGCAAACTTTCTGGTTATTGTGAATTCTCATTAAACCATGGGAACGATTTTTTCACTCCCGAATGAAATTCTGGCCATTTGAATATCGATTCCAATGATATCATCATGTTTACGAAGGCAATGAATACACAATGAACACGAAAAGTTTAACTATTAGAAAGTGTCCAGAACAACAGGAAGATAATAAGAGAAATGTTTGAAACTGTTTGAAAAGAGAAATATAATAAAAAAAATAACAATGAGAAATGTTCAGAATTCATATCATCATGATTGTTATTCATTGGTATCTACTTTTTGGTTCATGACAAACAATCTGAACAATGTAATCATTTTTCAATG